TTCTTCCACTGTTGGTTGCAGACATGCAAATGTCTATTTCATTCCTTCTCCAACGAAGAAAGCAAAAGTGTGTTTAAGATGCCAAAATAAGAGAAATTAATGCTAGTCAAAATACAGTACATACAGATTCTGTATTTTTTCTTCACGTAAACACAGTATAAGAGAATGAAAATTCTAAGGTTGGTAAAAAAAAGCATGACAGTGCACAGTGGTTTTGGATAGATGAGATTGCATTTCAGTACTCGCTCCTTCAGCAATCCGTGTAGACTTCCAAGACTGAGTTAATTGCAATAACATATAAACAAACTCAAAAGAATTTTAACGTGAAAACATGCTTCATGTAAGAATTAAAACCAGATGACTAACCTGAACATCCGTACTTATTTTACCACTGAAACCATGATAGAATTTGCACAAAAGTTGTCTTTGTAGGACAAAATGCAGTTTTCCTATCTTCCTGTCAGTCTCATTCTTTTAAATAGCAAAGAATATTGTTTCATCTTATTTTTGGACATTTTCCAAACAAAGTTGTATAAATAGTCACCAACAATATGGAAAAAGAAGAAATTCAGCTCTACGATTAAGTAACCATGCAAATATCTTGTTCATTAGTTTTAAAACTGATGACTAACCTTCAGGAATGACTTTGCATGAGAATGAATGAATACTAAATTTGCCCCCATAAACCCGCAGTCATGAAGTCACAAGATTTTTATGTAACCTCAAACTCAATTGGCTGATGGGCCTTCTTCATCCAAACCTATCTTGTGATAATGAGAGTCAACATCCATCTGGAGACCTGTGGTCAGATTAATAAGTGAAAAAAGGATCCAACCATAACATTGTTTCTCCCATTGTAAATTCAGAGTATATATTGTAAAACAAATAGCTATAAGCAAGGAATCTAAAAAAGCTGTAATGTTTCTGAGAGTTTATGTTGCTTCCTGAATGCTTTGATCAGAAAACAGCCAAAGCTATCCATGATTCCACAAGTAAGATGTCATCTTGTGGTGTACTGATTGACAAAGAGGCATTACATTCAAATCATGTCATAAAACTAATTTATACGAAAAAGTATACAATTAACACCTGAGCATTGAATATGACATTTGACATTGCCAAAACATAAGGAAAATATTTCACATATTTTTTGTTTTTTGTGCAAATAAGACCATAAACCTCAATAATCTGGTATTTTTAAAGCACTAATATACAGATTTGCTGATATGATAAGCAAATCCTTGATGATGTTTTAAAAAGTCTTGATTAATTTCTGATTTAATAAATATTAATATAATCATTGTTATATTCTTCTTTGTTATAAGCAATACTTGTCTCATAGCAAACATAAGTTCATTGGTAATAAAACTATAAAAGAAGGGAAACTATTTTTATTCTAAAAACAGCTGAATATTTTCTAGAAGTAAATTCTTGATTGCTTAGAAAAACACATTTCGCTATGTCTGCAATCTGAATTCCAGGCTCATTCTGCATTCCTTTTTACCTACATTCAACATTTGTGTGAAACACCACACAATACTTCTCCATTCTTCATGCTCCCATCATAAAGAAAAATGTTCTGCTACTGTTATGGGATATAACTAGCACTAGGTTTACTGAAAATTCAACAAGTTTACCTTGAAAAACACATCAAAGATAAAAATCAGGCCCAATATTTGGTTTCAAAATGTAAACTTATCTTTACCGCAGATAAGAGTATTAATTCAATAATGATCAACTGCACAGCAACATTTTTCCTGATTTTAAACACCATACAACAAAGTAGCAGCATGCAAAAAAAACTAATACCCCAGTAACATGGCATAGGCAAGATTTCTTCTCATCTTGTGTACTCTCCAAAATATTTGACCTCAACTAAAACAGTGCTATGTCTCAGACTGGAAAGGAGGTGGAAATTTCAAACAAAAATCATAAACTTTGTTCACAAAGAGTGCAATTTTTTTTAACTCTTTGCTGTCTAAATTGCTGTCACTTTCATGAGCTGAGCAAAAAATCATTTGACATAAAGGGAGTGGTGAGAAGAGAAAGAGTGGGCTAATACCATTTATATGATAGACGTTTGATAAATTGTTGGGTAGACCAAATCTATACGTTCCATTGGCTAATAAAGTGGTTACAATATTATCAAATTGTTATGTACATTGCTTTACAAAGGATAAGTAGTATCCTTCTATTCCAGACCAATAATGGCTGAAATTCAGAACTACAGGGTGACCAAAAAGTTGTGATACCATTACAATGTCAAAAAAGTCTTAAAGAAATGATGATTCCTTTTTAGATAATAGGGTAGTTGAAAAATAAGATTTTTTGGTCATACTACGTATGAAATCAAATGTTTAGTGAAAAGGGCCTGTAAAATGTGAGGCCACGAATTCTGATGGTCTGAACCTTAAGACCATTTCAATTTAAAATGTGCTTCAATTTAAAATTTTAGATAAATCTAAAATTCAGGCTCAATTGGGAATCTTGTTTTTTTTTAAACTAGCTTCAAAATTCTGCACAATCTTAAAATGCTGAGAGAATGACCTTAAAACTAAGGCATAAGAAATTTAAGTGTACTGAGTGTTTTGATATGTACCAGCCATTCCCCCACTTTGAGATGCATCATTACATGGTGTGCAATGAAGACATGGAAATGCAACAGTGGTCCTCAATAAAACTTTTCAAACAATTAGTCACCCTTCTACAATCTTAATGCTAATTCAGATTTGCCTACAAAATACACAGTCACTACACATGAAGTGCTTTGAGACCTCTCAACATGATAAGGGGCAATATCAAATGCAAGGTTACTATTATTCTGTCTTCAACAAGAAAGCTTTGTGTGAAACACCACACAATACTTCTCCATTCTTCATGCCCCCATCATTAAAGAAAAATGTTCTGCTACTGTTATGGGATATAACTAGCACTAGGTTTGAAAATTGATCAAATTCATGATGATAGTAATTGATGAATTCAAAAGTCAAGCACCTCCTAGGTTAAGTGAGTAGAGAATTAAGATAGGATTAACTCAGAATTGTTCTTCAGTGATCCCTACTGAAAGCACATCCGCCTGATCAGCACCTTGGGACATCCTTCCGACATGAAAGGTGCTATATAAATGTAATTTGTTGTTGTTGTTGATCCCTGAGTGAAAACACAATCAGTTTTGGCTGCAACGTCCCTCCACCCTCAACAACCTGCAAATTCTCACTGCTCAAGGCTCTAATTCAAATAACAACCTCTTGAGCGTACTAGTCTTGGGACCAGTAGAAGGNAAAAAGGAGTTGAATACAGGAGAACACTAGAAAGAAAGAGAGAGAAGTTTAAATGTTTTGATGTTGTTGATTAAGAGTGGAAAATGCAGGAGTAAGGAGTGTGCAAGCTTGACTTTATTTTTAAAAAAAGCACATCCTGTGTGGCCTTCAAAAATAGTAATAAATAAAAGAGCACAAGTCTAATTTTGAGATCCACAGGAATTTCAAACCAATTTGAGTTTGCCCCTCGACGGACACAAATCAGTTCTGCTGACAGAAAAATGTACTGGGCAATAGAGAGGAACATCAAAATTGCACGTAAATGAGACAAGGGGCAATATTGAATACCTCATGGGAAATTAACACTGAGGCACATGTCAAGAAAGATAACAGAGGGGCCTGAAGGAAAAAGAGAGAGAAATTTCACAAGGGAGACGGTCTTCAGACTGGGGAGGTAACCATACATAACATCAATCTCTTTGGGGATAAAGATAGAATTGACAGTTTTTTTTTGCCCCACATTTGCTCTACCGGTGGCCTGTTACTCATATCGGTGTAATTTGTTGTTTTTGCCACATAATTAACCATCAAATATCTTGAAGCTTGTAAACCAAGGCCTGAATCATTTTATTCCAGCACTTTTTACAGCAGACTAGGGAAGTGGATCTTCACTACTGTATCCGAATAACTTACATTAACTGTTTGGATTGCAAACCCCTCCTTCCCCACTCCCCAACATCTTTCCCACTGAGGGGAGGCAATAAGTAGAAACCAGGGAATTTCCTAGCAGGGAATGAATGAAGAGTCACCCACGTTCATTGCATGGGCTGTATATAGAACACTGCAAACCTGGGAGCAGCAAGCCAGCGGTCTTATCCCGGCGACAGCAAAGAATGAATCGTGTTGGAAGATTGATAAGGGAATTTTACAGAAAGCAACAAATCCTGAAAATGCTGTGCACAAAGTAGAGAGCTTCATACCAAAATCAGGATTAAAACCAGCATATGCTGATTTGAAGAGATATTAAAAAAAGATGTTGTATTAATGTATCAAAACCCTCAATGCTGCCCACACATCACATCTCTGGACATGTGTATATGTTGGTGGTTAGGTTATTTTTTCAATATTAAAGGAAGTTCAATTTAATGGTTTTAAAATGAAACCTTCCTACCTACTTTCAGATCGTATACACACCCTGTTAGAAAATACTATAAGATGCAAATCCAGTTAAAGCCTAAACCATTTAAATTTACATTATTAAAACGCATACACCTCCTCGTTGAGCTTTAGGGAGCCACCAGTTTGGTTCTTTGCAAACTTCCACATGAACTCATTCACTCCACAACACCACATTACAGCATAGCATTTCAGCCTGTAGCACCCATGCCTCTGAGTCAGAAAGTTGTGGGTTCAAGCCCCACATCGAGACTTGGAATCACAGAGTCTAAGCTGACACTCCAATGCAGTCTTGGGGGGTGTCGTATTGCTGAAGGTGCCTTCCGTTGGATGAGATGTTAAAACTCAATGTCCCATCTACCTGTTCAGGTGGATGATAAAGATGACATGGCACTATTTGAAAAGAGAAAGGAGTTTCCCCCGCTGCTCTGGCCAACAATTCCCAAATAAATTTGGTCACTGACTCCACGGCTTGTGGGACGATGCTGTGCACAAACTGGCTGTCGTGTTTCGCCCATACATAGCGAAGTGCTTTGAGATGTCTTGACGATGTGATAAGGCGCTATATCAAATGCAAGGATTATTATTACTATCATTATTATTGTCAATAAATTAATTCTTACAGCCACAACCTAGTCTGCATAACGGAAACAACTGCACCTTTCAGTGGTGCCCCAGGATCAGGAACTGAGGTTGAATGATGCCAAATGGTAAATAAATTAAGTTTCATTTTCTGACCCTAAAATATGAAACCAGTGCATCGAGTTAACTATGGCCGATTCACTTTTATTTTAAAGGCCAAGGAATGGGAAGCAGTAAGGTGGATCACTGGGTATAACTCTTTTTAATTGACACTTTCGGAAAGTTGGCATTGAATTCCTGGACCACTCGAGTATCAATCTGAGAACAGAAAGAAATATCTAGCAGATGGAGTTCCTTGCACGACTGAAGCAGCTTTCGTAAAGCTCCAGGGCTCACCATTCGTGTTCCTGCAGGAAAATATAGTAAGATAGGTTACAGGTTAAATAATGACATGGAATGATCTGACACACAACCATTACAGCTGCCAACAATAAGTCTGGGAAAACTGCACGGTTAATGTCTGCAACCCTACCGCATACCGCATATATTTTGTTTCGCCCACAAAATGTACAGTCAATTCCCTTTACAGTATATTCTGTGAAGTGCTTTGAGATGTCTCGAAGACGTGATAAGACGCTACATCAAATGCAAGGATTATTATTATTGTATCCAGCTAACTGGCTATCTGGTGATCACCCGGGGCCTCAGCATCTCGGATGTCATTATGACTGACAAGGCCATCTCTGACCAACATTTCATCTCCCTCAACTCCCATATCCCTCTCCCCACTGCCTCTAAACCTACCACCATCTTCTACCGCCGTGGAAGATCTCCCCGCTGACCCACCTCTCGCAACAACCCACTCGCTGCACTCACTCTTCTCCACAGCACCCTCTCCACCACACTCAACGTCCTTGCCCCCCTCACCTCCCGAATTGCCTCCTATTCACGATCCTCACCCCGGTTCACCAGCCCCTCCGCTTGCTTAAGGGTCAGGTGTGGTCTGCCGAACGCACTTGGCTCAAATCCAGCCTAAAGGTCCACCGCTACATCTGGCTGGACCTTATCAAGAACTACCGCTCCGCTCTCGCCTCAGCCAAATCATCCTTCTATTCCAGGCTAATCCTGGAGGCGAAAGGCAACCCCAGGCTTCTGTTCTCCAGCACAAACCGGCTCCTCTGCCCTCCCGGACACGCCTCGCAGATACTTTCCTCTGACTTTCACTGCGAGAAAATGCTGGACTTCCTCGAGTCCAAAATCGAGGGAATCCACTCAGCTGCTACTGCCCTCCCTCCACTCCCTCCCTACCCCCCACAATTACCCATCCGACAATTACCCATCCCTTCTTCCACACCTTTGAACCTGTCACCCCCTCCTCTGTCTTCAACACAGTAACCTCCATGAAGCCCACCACCTGCTCCCTCGACCCCATCCCTACCCCTCTCCTTAAATCCTAGCTCCACCTCCTTACCCCACTAGTCGCCGACATCATCAACCTCTCCCTGTCATCTGGCACTGTTCCTTCCCCCCTCAAAACTGTCACTATCACTCCCACCCTGAAGAAACCTTCCCTCGACCCATCACAGCTATCTTGCTACCGGCCCATCTCAAATCTCCCCTTTCTATCCAAGGTCTTTGAGGGAACCGTTGACTCCCAGCTTCGCTGTTTCCTCTCCTCTCACTCCCTCCATGAACCCTTCCAATCGGGTTTCCGTGCTGCCGCCTTTGACACCGTGGACCACTCAATACTCCTCCACCGCCTCTCCTCCCACCTCAACCTTCAAGGTTCTGTCCTCGAATGGTTCAGGTCCTACCTTTCACACCGCCTCCACTTCGTCGTGGCAAATGGCTTCTCCTCCAGCCCCCGCACCGTCTTGTGCGGTGTTCCAGGGCTCTGCCCTTGGTCCCCTCCTCTTCACCCTCTACATGTTCCCTCTTGGTGACATCATCCGCAAACATGGGGTGAATTTCCACATGTATGCGGATGACACCCAACTCTACCTCTCTCCCTCCACCCTGAACTCAGGACTACTGGCGTCCTGACCGAATGCCTGTCTGACATCAAGTCCTGGACGAAGGCCAACTTTCTCCAACTCAACGTCAGCAAGACCGAGGCCCTCCTGATTGGCTCACGCCAGCACCTCCCCTCAGGCGCTGGCAGCATCAGCTTCCACAACTGCACACTCAACCTCACTCAGCCAGTCAGGAACCTGGATATCTTGTTTGACCCTGAACTATCCTTTCTCCCCCACACATCCGCGCCATGACCAGTACTGCCTACCACCACCTCAGCAATATTGCCAGACTCCGCCACTGCCTCACCCCTCAGGCTGCCGAAACCCTCACTCACGCATTCATCACCTCAAGGCTCGATTACGGGAACTCCCTCCTCATCGGCCTTCCCAACTCTTCCCTTCACAAGCTGCAGATCATCCAAAACTCTGCAGCTCATGTACTCTCACACACCAGGCTCCGTGACCCCATCACTCCCACCCTTGGCTGACTCAACTGGCTCCCCATCCCCCAGAGGATCGAGTTCAAGATCCTCGTCCTCACCTTTAAGGCCATCCATGGCCTTGCCCCCTCTTATCTCTCTAACCTGCTGACTCCCTATCAATCTGCCCGCTCCCTCCTTTCATCGGGCTCCGGTCTGCTCCATGTTTCTCGCCCGACCTGCCCTACCATCAGTGGCGGAGCTTTCAGCCTCTCTGCCCCCACACTCTGGAACTCCATCCCATGGTCCCTTCCCCTCGCTTCCTCCCTTGCCCCCTTCAAGGCCGGTCTCAAGACCTTTCTCTTTGACCATGCCTTTGGTCTCCTTCCCACCTCTCTACCTTCCCTCACCCCTTCACCACCCCTCCCCCATGCTCGGGCCCCGACATCTGACTGTTCAGCGCTTTGGGACGTCCTCCCGACGTGAAAGGCGCTCTATAAATGTAATTTTGTTGTTGTTGATATAGTGCTCAGTGATGAAACATTGCTACATGCTCAACTTCAAACGCAATGTAAATTGATTAGTACTGAGAAAAGCCATTGAATGTTGGATTCATTGACTATTGTGCAACTGGGGTCAATGTCAATTGGTTGATTTATTTGGATGAACATTTCCTTTGAATTATTTGAAGGCAATCAATTTTGTTAAAAAATACATATTCCTTGCCAATTCCAGTAACTCTTAAATACCATGCAATATTCTTCATAAAAATGAATTATAACTGATTTTCTCTCCAGCTGTTTTCAACCTTGATGATGTATTACAATGTGAACTTTGATACTTCACCTAAGATACTTAATTAAAAAAATAAAGATTTATTTATATTGTACACCTGCCTATATGCATTTGTATATTGCCTTTGTTCTCTATGTTTGCATTAAACTGAATATGAAATTGAAAAAACTGTAATGCTCTTTGCAGAGGTTCAAGGTGGGTGGGAAGTGTCATGATCCTAATTGCTGCAAAGTCTTACCTGCCAAGCACTATTTTAGCTCTTAACACTATGTCCCTGTACCTAAACTTGGAAGAAATCAAAAAGAAAAATAACCCACAGTAATAGATTTAGTAGTGTCCTCTGAGACAATGAGTTTTCTTTGTGAGAAATTAAACTAAAAATGAAAGCTTTTTGAGTTGTATTTTTTGGACCTGTTGGCAAGTTTAAAATGGATATTATGGTAATTTCAAATTTTCTGTCATGCAATGCTCCTTGAACTTGGTGCTACTGGTAAACAACTTTACCAAAAACTTTGAAAATCTATACATGTTCAAGGTCTGAATGCTAGATCTTGAAATGAACAAAGAGCATGAACCATTTTTTTTGCTGTTGTGAAAAAGAGTTGCAGCAGAATGAATATAATGTTCTAAGACAGTGCAGTGGAATATTAAGTTAGGAAAGGACAATTCACGTCATCACGTCACAAAGGGGCTTTCAGCTGTTCTGCTTTGAAATATGGACTTGTCTTCCGATAGGACATCAATATCACTTGAGAAGCATTTTGCATTTATATTACCCACAAGATATTGCACAGAATTGAGCTGTTGGCAAGCGAATATAAAATGCAACATTTCCCAGAATATACCATTTCTAATCTTTTTAATTCAGCAAACTAATCATTACAAGCCTGAAATTTCAAAAAGGTGCATTTCTGAAGCATTTTATAAATGACACCTTAGCTTTAAAAGCTTTGTGTTGTAGACAGTACTACAATTGTAATTTTACATGTTTACATGTTCAGAGATTTACAACTCTTCTTTGTGGTACAGGCAAAACAATTAAAAAAATACACTCAATAAAACATTCAGAATCCCCAATTAAAGGTGTTAGTGTGTTTGTTGGTTTTCATCCATCACATTTTATTAATTTAGAAGATCTTCCCCGGAATACCCTTCCTTGTCAGAGGATTTCAGGGAGAGTTGTCCTTTCAGCAGCTATTTATTTTTCCAGGGTCTTCATTGTTTTTAGAATGCAAATGAACATTTCTACTCCAGTGAAAATATTTACAAAAGGAATTCTTCCTGGAAACAAAGCTACTGATGTTCAATATTTATCAGTACCGAATGATAAAGAACACTTTCTAAAAGGTAAGAATAATCAATTAAATTTTTACCTATTAAATGTAAAATTAACAGCTCTCTTTTTTGTAAGGAATCAGAACTTTATCCCATGAATTTAAAGCATTGTTTTTAACAATACACTTACTGCATTGAATGACAGAAATAAGGACAAATAGATGCACATTAACCAACTTCATACTGCTGCTGACAGAAAAACAGTTTACTGGAGTTTTTGTGAAGAGCATTAACTAAATTGAAATAAATTAGATAGTTTCATCTGCACAAGTCTTTGAAGTATGTGTTATTTAGTAGTCTGCTTAATGACAACATTAAACAAAATGAATAATATGTTATAGCTGTTTCTCAAAAATGATGTGTCAAAACAATGCAGGAATGTCTGAAACCTGCACGTATTTTATTTCTAACAATTTTATGTTTTGCATTTGTTGTTGTTGAGTGGATTCTCAGAGGCCTGGGATTAGGTCACATACCTGATCTGATAGTTGCTAAGTAGAAACAACAACAACATGAGGTAGGTCTGTAAGTGGGATTTAAAGATAAAGAGTGGGTAGGGGATAAAGAGGAGGTGATATGTCTTATTATATCCAGAGATTGGGAACATAGTGGTTGAAGTCATGGCCACCAATGGTGCCGTGGAGAAGTCAGGTGACACACAGAAAGCCTGTATTAGCTGAGCGAAGTGGACAGGCAACCAGATCAGGGAGGGAGGGAGGTGCGAAGATGTGAAGGGGCTTGTAAGTGTAGGCGATAATCTTGTTGGGGACCGGTGGAGCCTGGTGAGGTTTGAGGTGCTAGGGATGTAGAGTTTGGTATGGGTGAGGATTCGGGAGGTGGAGTTTTGAATCAGTTGGATCTTGTAGAACTGTGGAGTTCAGCGAGGAGTAGAAGAAACCAAAAAAGGAGATCTGAGAGCAGAGAGAATTTTCTTGAGAGCTTAAATAAATCAGTGGGGGAGGGGGACAGAGAGGGAAAAAGAAATGCAGCAGTGCAAAAAAAAATCGCATAATTGGGGGGAGGGGGATAACGTTCACTAAAGGTGACTCCTCCTTAGATTAAGATCTCTATCATAAAACACACGTGTACAGAACTGTCACACAGTTAAGGTTTTCACCAGTCGGTCAGCTTTTCTGCTAAATATAACTTTCCTGTGTCAAACTTGAAGAGATTTGTGTTGTACGAATTGTGGAACTTGTGGGGTAGCTCAAGGGATTTTGGGCTGGATTTGTGCTATATGAAAGACAAGACATTCTGGCGGCATAGCTTTCTTTGATGTGCTGCATTATTGTGTGCAACATTATTGTATGCAACATATTCATCTTCGGAATAAGGGTGTATTGCTTTTCCTGAATAGGTCACACAGATATTATTCTGAGTCGGCTATTGAAAACTCCCTAATAAAACTGTTCAAAGAAAAAAAGATTGTCAGAATCATTCCACATGCAGCGCTAATGGGGCAGCACTGCACACGGATGTGTGAACTGAAAAAGGTAATTTACTGAAAGCTGGTTTTCTTATTCTGCAGACTGATATAACCCTGCTGGAGTTCACCTCTTTGCATAGTTTGATGATGCGGAGGTTATTCAGAAGTTGCTAATTTGGATTGTTTCCTGTAGGAATCGGAGTTAAATTCTTGTCAGGTTTCTGCCACTATAATTTGGGCAATACATAATAATACCCTTATAGAGTGAGAAGGGAATACACTTTGTGTTTTAAAAAAAAATACATTTGTGGTTTCAAATTAAAATTAACTGACCCTTTCTCTTTCTCCCCACCACCACTACCAGTTATCTCAGAATGTCAATGGTCTAGTATTTAACTTGTATTTGAATGTACTGTACACATTTCCTTAGGCTTTATCTGCCACCTGACTTGCAGGTTGAATCAAACTCAATAAAATGCTTGTACAACACGCCCTAACAGAATGCTGAACTGGCTTGGTTTCCATTCCCACTAGGTTCATTGGAAGGGGTCAACTTCCTGAAAGATGTGAAACGCAACCCAACACAGGTCAGAGTGAATCGGTTCTCTCGTCTCTGGGTGAGTCTTTAATTCACTCCATACACATCACATCCCACTAAGTTAACAGGAAGCGGATAGGCTGCCAATGCTAACGGGACTTTCTGCCTCATTCCATCGGAGCCCCACTGACACACAGCTGCTGCTGAGGCTGCCTAGGGGCAGGAGACTACCAGTCTTGCTGATAATGTTCATTTAATTAATAAACGTATTTTTCCCTAGTATATTGAGGGGGGGTGGGGGAGGGCAGAAAGAGAGCGGATGATAACCAAACAGTGCAGTGTTCTAAAATAACATTGTAATCTCAAAGCACTATTTAAAATGTCACAAACTGTAAAGAATACAGATAGGCTTAATGCTATTGAACAGAGCTCTGGGTAAAGATTAAACATAATGAATTCCTGGTTTGTCCATGGAGAATATGCAGAAATAGTCTAACAAATATATATATAAAAGTGGAAGTCTTTTTTTCCTGGAACCCCTATCACAACATAATCAGCTTTTTGGTTTTATATCCAGGTTGATTATAATAAGCCATGAAAATCTATTCTAGTGGTGAAGTGCACTCAGGCAAAACTATGGGGTCTAATATATGGCAATTTGTAATAGGATTCCTTAACCAGGAAATCAGAATACATCACACTGGTTCACAGAACCTCCACTCCAATGTGCTCTACCCTGCGAGCAGAGTTCCCACGGGCCAGCATTACCTGATTCAGGTTAACCGACGGATTCCCCACTCACTTGGTTTCCTTACAAAGGAATCCCATCAGAAGTTTGTTGTATATTAGATGTTTATAGCACTCGGCTAGCATTGAAGATGATGGTCAAAACAAGCAGTTTGGGGAAACCTCAATAGGTAGGGATCAAAAAGACTGTGTAAATCACTTGAGAAGAGTATTTGAAAGATTCTACAGCACATTTTGCTTTCTTACCTAATATATCCACGTGGTAGAGCAGAGGGCAGTTTGCAGCCAGCTCCTCGATGTCTGTGTCACAAACTGACCGATTGGCCGTCAAGAAGATCTTACGCAGATTGGGAAGGTTCCGAGCGAGCCTCACGAAGCAGCTGCTACTGCTCTGTAACGTGGAGCACCATCCAAGATCCAGTTCTTCCAAAAGCCGGCAGCCTGTTACTAACTCGGCAATGCCATTTTCTGTGATATTTTTACTTCTCCAGAGGTCTAGGGATCGCAGCTTTTTACACTTGGCGCCAATTACACCAACCACAAGGTCATAGTCTTCAATCTAGAGGGTAGAAGGTCAACCATTAACAACCATCTATGGCTTTATCACATTATCACTGCTGGATTTCTTTACTAGAAGAGACGGTGTGATATAAAACTAAATGTTTTAGAAAAGAAAACCTAAGGAATTACATAAGGGCAGGTATTGCAAATAACAATATCACATGCTCGCTTGCAAGTAAAATATCCACTGAACAACAATGATATCTATTCTTAGGGTTCAGCACCAGGTTNAAAAACTTTTATCATGACAAGCAGTGCTGGCTTGATGGCATGCAAGTGTTAAAAGCACGTTGTTAAGAAATGGAAGAGAAAAAGAAGGCTGGACATTATAAGATTCTACAATTTTTTTTAGTAAGAGTGCCACTTACACCTCCATACAGATTCTCAAAATGGGAATGTGTATTCAACTCTCCAGTTTAGATGCCAAATCCTTATGGATTAGATTTCATGAAAGAAGCAATATGCATTTCCATGTATAATTTCAATTAAAAATCAATAAGTAAAGTATTTATGATCTCAGCTTTCAGAGAGTATTTAAAAAACCATCAAATATGCTACGTAGCAGTAGTGAGAATCTCTCTGTCCTCTCCACCCTACTGTCAAGGAAAAGCTTTTGAAGATTATTGAGGCAACTTAAAAAAGGGAAAGATTATCTTGCCACCTTGTGATTTAGCCCCAGAAGATACTTTTATGAATGTGTTAAGCTGAATGTGTTAAGTATATTTCAATTACTTTTTACTTCAAATAAAATAACTATAAAATGCAGATTGATGTATAAGTAACTTAACAAACGGTGAGAAACAATTTAAGATCAAAAGGTTTTGCTTATACAAATGTTACCCTCTCAACAAAATATGTACACAAATAAAAAATGTGATTGAAAAGGCCCCTTCCAAATTATTAATACCCTGGTCACCCAACAAGATGACACCTTTATAAATGTGTATATTAATTCTGATGTTTATTATTTACAGAATCAACCTCATCACAACAAATTATATTATGAAATAAATTTCCTCCTGAATGGCTTTGGCTACTTTATAGCCATAAGACAAGCTCAAAGGTTGATACAAGATAACTGCCTTACTATTCCATCCTTGCATTTGCTAGGAATTTGCAAAAACAGGGAATGGCTTTAACTATAAATACATGTGCTCTGTTGTTGGCCTTTCTTCACATACAAATGACACCTGTGAACCTTAACATTGTGTTGGAAAAATAGCAGAATAGGGTTTTAAGGTTAACTTCAAATTAATCACTGCAACCAAATCATTTCCATTCAGAGCCATGCAAAACACAACAGGCTCCCATAATAATGCCAAATAGGGGAACAGGTAACTTCAGACCCTAAAAGCTCACGATATTGTAACTTCAGATCAGATTGAAAACTGAAGAAACAGACGGTTGGAATTATTTGAAGCACTGTCATGATTTTACAACAGCACCTCTGCAAAGCTTCGATAATTTTTATTGTGTAAAAAAAAATATTTGCGACAAGAACGGTATTGGATATGTTGAGATGCCAATTTTTTTTTGAAAGAGAAGGGTCGACCTTAAGGGAAAATCATTTGCTCGTGCAACTCCAAGTTCTTACCATGACACAGCTGCCGAGGCAGAGGTGCTGAAGTTCCGTGCAGAAGTTCAGAATGCTGAGGAGTGCTGTTTGCTGCCGTTGGGGAACACATCAGAGGCAACGTGAAAGAGAAACAAAGGGAAAAGAGGTCAATTAGGCATTAAAGCCTGTCACTGCTTTTCCCGAAATACTGCTCTAAACTTAGGTTACAGCTACCACAAATGCAGTTTAATGAGTCCCAAGGTATTCAGGCCATCGATTAGCTCATGGCCAAACAAATCATTACAGGCTCAAAACGCAGCTCCCTCTAGATGTGAATCTGCACAAACCACAGTTACCAAGATCTGTATGTCTCTGAACGCCTCGTCCTGAGGGAGAAGTCTTGAAAATGCTGAGACCTTCCAGTTACGTGGAAGGCTGCTGCTGCACAGAATGGATCAGCTCTGTCCCAGAAGTAAAGTGGCAACTGTGACATTCACAGATCAGACAGCCTAAGGAAGCTGTCAATAGTGAATTGCACAGAGTTGCAGGATCGAAGAGTACTGACCATTGCCAAACAGATGATTCTAGTCAAAGTTAGCTGAGGCATGTGCGTGCATAGCATATAGAACAACTCGTTCCGGGGAGGGAATTGCAGGGCTATAATTCAATCAAGTGGTTTCTGATGACGTCCACAGAACCCAGACTGAATTACAGCGTTTCACTCCCTGCACAGTGTTGGGTTTATGTAGCACAGAATAATAAAAAGAAGCACAATTTAGCATTAAATACTGCTTAGTTGCAAGGTGAATTTTCAAGGTGAAATATGCAACTGCATTTGGTAGCTGCGTTTGGTTGTTATGAGGGGCTTTTGATGAGCAAGGCAGTTAAGCAGTGCTGGCTTGATGTCACGAAAGGGTTATATAAGGTTCCCAAACTTACAAGGATTCAGAGTTGCATATGGAATTTATATAGAATTGCAGATCGGAAACGGGCTAAACTGGTCTGTGTCGGTGTTTATATTCCTCCATCCCTCCTAATCCTCTTCACCTATACCCCTCTATTCTATTCTCCCTCATCGTCAATTTTCCTCTCAAATATCTTGATTTTTTCCCTTCAAGCACAGAAATGTAAAATCAATGGGGTTTTAGCCCCCCCCCACTTCCCACTGGTGCTTTTTAAAGTGTTTGCCTCGGGTTTCCAGAAACAGAAGACGTGGGCACCATTCAAACGATGATGAATTTGGGGACAAACTCAATGAAATTGTTTTGTTTAATAATTAAAACATTCAGCAAACCACTGCACCATTGAATCCATACTCTACTTCTATATTTTCCACTTATGGCCATAACACAGGAAAATATCCAGGAAAGAAACTCACAATTTAGGATTAAACTGCTCTGCATCAAGTAGTGTGCACATGTGATCCAGGGCAGCACCCTCAGATTTTACCTACATTACAATACCTTCCTGCTCTCGGTTACTTTTACTGAGATCGGAAACTAATCACCTGGAAGGGGGAACCCACAGTTGGTCTTCTGAAACTCTGCCCAAACAATAACTTTGTGGAAGTTGAAACAGATTGAAATCCGAAGCAACAGTCATGATGTGGGATGGCCCAGCTGTCATCTTATTTCCTATAGATAACTTCTGGGCAATTAGCTGAATACAGCCATTCATTTACCAGAGCCCAAAAGCAATGATCATCAAACACCTAAGATGTCACACATTACATCATGAAGAGTATAAGAGTGGTGCTATTCCACTCTTCCATTGGACATTTATTACATCCCATATTTCTAAGAACGTGGCACTTTTTACTATTCACTATTTGCTTGTTAATTCTGAACTGGTTTATCCTCTTTTATCCACTGAGGGGGAAGGTGTCAAGAAAAGGTTTGTGTCAATAATGATCCTTTTCTAGCAGCAGAATAAAACAGAATCATTACGATTACATTTGGTGGCTCATCTCTTTTATTTAGTGCCAGAGACTGACTTGGATAAGCACATCACTGAATAACAAATTAATCAGCATATACTGGATACAACACAATCGCCTCTTTCTTGTGTTGCTGTACTCGGTTAATCAGATGTAGAAATTCTCTCTGTACAAAGTATTCACCTGTGACAAATCAAGCTACCGGTATTTGGGAAGATATGTCCAAGGTGTAAAATTACTGGCTGAGAAAAAACAAATGAGTACATAAATCAAATCCTTCCACCACGGAAATAAAATAGGATAGGGTTTTACTTCGGATAGAATAATTCAAAGAGATAGTACAGTAGAATAGACATTCACCACCAAATATGAACATCTTATCTCAACATTCCGCTTTTCAAATAATAAAACTCACTTCGCCACAAGGAAGCACTCTAACAGACTTATTTTCCACTTTTCTTGCGTCTCTTCGTCTCAACCCTTCCTCCATCTCCTTTGACATATTAACTGAAGCTTTATCTGAGACGTAGAGGTTTATCTGACACGCACAAGCGCTCTGAGATGCCACCCGGCGTGGAGGGCGCTATATAAATGCAAGTTGTTGTTGTCGTTTAAGAAAATTAGCAACAGTTACACGCAGAAAAAAATCATCAGCCATTCAAAATCTGAAATGATCATGCTGACAGCATCAATTGTCATGCATGCACAATCCACCCCACGGAGTCATTGCAATACCTCAATGTTTCGCTCAACTCTCAATGGTCCTTTAATCCCTACATCTGTGCCCTGACACATTCAGCTTGTCCCCACTTCCGCAACATTGCCTGTCTCCACCATTATCTCTCCCCTTGGGCCACTGGGACGCTTATCCATGATTTGATGATGTCAGGCTAGACTGCACCAACTCTTCACTTATCGGACTTCCATCTGGAACGCTGAAGCTTGTGTCCTCTCCCACACTGAGCTCAATGAGCCTATTCCCGCAACTTCACCCAGCTGCACTGGCTCCCTCCTCTCAGGAGGCAGTGGCTTGCTTCATGTCACCCATCTTGCCCGCCCTATCATCGGCATTCGAGCCTTCAGCTTTTCTGCCCCCATCCCAGAGTCCCTTCACCTCACCCTTCCCTTGCCTCTTTCAAGATCCATCTCAAGACCTTCCCCTTTGACGTACTTTCAGTCATCTTCCCACGCCCATGGCCCCCACCCCTCCTGAATCCAACCCCCAGCTCGGGTACAAACCCTCAACAATCCAGTGGCTTCAGACATACCCTCCGAAAGTGAAAGGCACTATATAAATTTGTTGTTGAAGATTAAGAATGCTAACATCTCGCATCTTTTGCAAAATGTAAAATAATGCATTCATTAAGTGGGCTGTTGTATAAAATGTAGCCAGTGGCTACAACCAGTTCCTAAAGTAAGATATCTACTTAAAACAACAGGTAAAGAACAAATAAATATTATCAGCAGGCTTCTCCAGTCAATGGACATTCCTCTCTTGACTCAACAGCTATACCTAACAGTCATTTTGGATCTTTAATATATGTATCCACAGCCTCAAAGACCAGACATCATGAAGTACATTGAGTATCTAAACATAACCTCTGCCTAACACCTGCTTCATGGCTGTCTGTGGGACAGTACCGTGCCTGTCACCTTTACCTACAAAATGCATAGTCATTCTATGCCGTAAATTCTTTGATAAGCCCAACGTTGCTCTAAAAATAGACAGTCATGGGTACCAGGGTTTTTGCTCCTGATTGCTATCCAATGAATCCTGCTGGAAAGGGTGGGCATGAGTAAAGACAGGATCAGGCTCTGCCGAAGTGCTTTTCATGGTTTAAGTCGCTGAACAGCTTAGCTAACAGAGATGGGTACCTGGTGCGCACCATTCAAGTAGAGGAATATGACAGAACGGGCTTGAAGGGATACTGGGACAAGGCGGAGCATTGGGATTGAATTGATCTTCTTGCTCTGTGAAGCGATGCAGACTCAATAGGTGAATGGCCTCTTTCTAAACTGTAGATTTCTATGTTTATAAGGGGTATACAAAGAGGTATATTCTGAGATGTGCTTGAAAAAGTGGGGGAAGGGAGTGAGTCAGAAGGACTCTAGATTGGAGTTCCAGACAGGGGGAAAAATACTGGTATGCGGTGCATATACTAATCAAATATGTATTGGATGTAGTATTTCCTAGTAATTAACTGCAGGTTAGCTCTGACAAAAGGACCTAAAGCAATGACTTTACTGTTATTGATTGTCTGTGAGAATATCACCATGCATCGACAATGTGCAGCAAAACAACCATCACCATTCACACAGACAGCTGCTGTTGGCGCAAAATTGAATTTAAAGTTTAAACACGGATAAAAATGTGCATATAATTTAAAAAGAAAACAAGTGGTTTCAAGGTTTTAATGTAACCTTGGGGGGTCAGAGAAACATTAAAACCTCTTGAAAAGAATACTGTAGTAAGCTGCACTCTACGAAATGCAAGCCCAGCGCTTTAATATTAATCATTGGACTTGATATATCGACTTATCATGTTGCTGAGACGTCTCAAAGCGCTTCACAGAATACTGTATATTGTAAAGTGGAGTGACTGTGTATTTTGTGGGGGAAACGTATTCAGTAACTGTTTCTCTCACGTATTCAGTAACTGTTCCTTTGACTTATGCTCTTAATTCTTTTCACTCGGCACCCCAAGATCTTGTTTGCTTTCTTTACTATTTGACTGTGCCTTTGGTTAACACATTTCAATCTCTCATTTCCCTGCTTGCTGTGCACCACTAGACTTGTCCAGAACTTCAGTGAAAAGTTATGAATATTGTCATGGCTATATTTGGGCAACCTGTTACCATTTATTTGCAAAACCCCGTAGTTTCACATCAGCAGCAAACTTTGACAACTTGGTTTCTTGTGGCATTTGTCATCAGAAGTCCTCAGATGGACCAAAAGTTTTTCACTGGAGAATCAATTATTCTACAGACTCGACTAATAGTCAATTGTAAAAAGAGTTACAGAAATGCATCCCCAACACTCAAACCAACTTTTCAGGATTCCTTCATCGAATATTTTAATAATAATAATCCTTGCATTTGATATAGCGCTTTTTTACGTCTTCTAGACGTCCCAAAGCGCTTCACAGAATATACTGTAAAGTGAATTGACTGTATATTTGTGGGCGAACGTGGCAGCCAATTGACAATTAACAAGAGAGGGTAGTGTGAACAGCACTTGAAATAAATTCTGATGGAGGGTCATACCAGGAATGTTACCCTATCTTTCAGGTATCGATTGATCTGCTGTGGATTTCTAGGATTGTTTTTATTTTAAGTGACATCTAAATTCTGAATTGAATTCCAACACAGGGCAACCCAAAGCAACATGGCTTCTTTAACGAGTAATAATGCAATTTTCTGATCTTGACTTTTAGTATTCATAATCATTTCAAGAATTTCTTCCGCTGCACATTGGTGCCAATTTCCTATGTTCTTTGTTGATAATTGACTTCTACACCTCCACACTGAAGAGAACACAATGGCAGCTCTATGGTGAGCAGGATAGAAATTTCTGTACAACAAACTTGTTAGTGTTCAGGTCATTCAGCTTTTTTTTACACACTGCAAGTTTACATTCAATAGCCTGACAGGATTTTATGTAACAAAAATGCTTTCAGCACAGCGTGTACACTTAATATTCCAAACAGAACACAATAGACCAGCAGTGTCGATCGTTGTATTGTCTTGTGCATCTGGTATAAACAGTTCACAGAAACTTGATTAAAAGTGCAGCTCAATCTTAAACATCAATGCCACTTAGTTAGCCCACATTTGATGAAAACATGGATTAGAATCTTGTAGCAACTCTCACCTATGATACACCCATCCCCTTAAAAACTCCCCTTCTTGATTCACCTGCTTTTATAATAATAATACTTGCATTTGATATAGTGCCTAATCACGTCTTTGAGACATCCCGAAGCACTTCACAGAATATACTGTAAGGTGAACTGACTGCATATTTTGTGGGCGAAACGCAGCAGCCAATTGTGCACAGCAGTGTCCCACAAACAGTCGTGGATTGACTGACTTTTTATGCGATTATTACCCCCGGAAAAGCGATCCGCCAAGGCCCCACTTATGTCCCCACTCAACACTTAGCATTCCTTGTCCAGGTCGATGGATAGGTGACCTGCTTCAAAAGCTCTGCCAACGCAGCTGGAGTACCTGGAAATGTAGGGGAACAGTGCTTGCTGTTTGATTGAATCAATCCTCAATTCTTCTCCCTCTATTTGGTGGCCACTTTAATCACCCAGCCAAGATTGAACCATCTTAGTTCTCTATAGGTCAGTTAACTTTTCTTTCTAAATTCCAAACACAAACCCTCAAGCTGCCATCACGATGCACAGCTTGTCACAATCTGGTGCACTATCTTTCATAATTTGCAGACCCACAAGAGGCTATGATTGCCTTATATTTAAGGTTGTGTACAGATTTGCACAAATTCTTGATTTCAATCTGATTTGGAAAACATTTTTCACAGTTCTAAAAAAGTTACTGCAGAAAACCAGTTCCAAAATCTTTAGGCAAAGATCTTTTTAGTTAGTACTGTAGTTTGTTATGAAAGAAGTGAAATAAAGTTTTTCATTGAAAAAGCTCTTGATATTAGTCAGTATTACTAGTTTACTCTCAGTCATAACGTGCATTCAGTTGCCTGCAATTCACAATTCTTGACCAGTTTGCCCACAAAATATACAGTCAATTCACTTTACAGTATATTCTGTGAAGTGCTTTGAGACGTCTCAAAGACGTGATAAGGCGCTATATCAAATGCAAGGATTATTATTATTGTTCCTATTCTGACTGCAGGACAATAGAGCAAACCATAGCTGTTTTGTGGTGAAACACTAAGCATTCATTTGCAATGTGCTCCAAATAACTTTTTAAGATGTTATGTTAATAATAATAATAATCCTTGCATTTGATATAGTGCTTTTCACTGCTTCTAGACGCCTCAAAGCAGTTCACAGAATATACTGTAAAGTGAATTGACTGTATTTTTTTGTGGGCAAAACGCGGCAGCCAATTGCACACAGCAGTGTCCCACAAACAGTTGTGGATTGAAGTGACCAATTTATTATTGTTTTTTTTCTTGAGGGATTATTATCAGGCGTGTGGAGTAAGGAAACTTGACCAAGATTTAGTTCTGCTGGGAATCGAACCCAGGTCTCTCGCTTGCGAGGCGAGTGCTCTAACCCCTGAGCTACAGGACTCCACAGTATAAATATGAAGCAGCTGAACCAGCCTTCAGTGCTCAATGGAAAGACAAATCTTGAGCATTTTATATTTAACAAAACATGTCATTTATGGTACCAAAAAAATATGTAATGGGTAATTTGTTAAACACTGATTTATATCACACTTATGCACTACAGACCTGAAATTCCACCTGGACTGAAAGAATATTTTGTTTTAAAAGTTAAGATTGCACAGAATTGTGGAAAATTGTTAAACTCAAGTCTTAATGTGGAAGCAATTTTGCTTTAAAGAACTACATAAAACCAGCCTCCAAATTAGGATGATTACATTTCGGGCCTTACAGATCTAAACCTCAGAAAGATAAGTGACTGGCAAGTCGTCCTAATTCTGGAGCAGAGCCAAAGAGAGTGGATGAGTCCAGGATTGAACTGCAACCTTAAATCAACAGGAAACAACCGAAAGCAGCAGAATGACTCAAACACCACCATTTGGTTCTATTCAACAAAGCAGTTTTAACGTTGCAAAGTGTTTTCAGAAATAGATCATGTTGTATTTGGTGCACATTTTTGCAAGACTGAGAATTCTTTAATTAAAAGGAATGCAGAACTCAAATCGCACTAAACAATTCTCTGTTAATGCCAATCACCACAGGAGTTCCTACCTCAATTTTTGTGCGGTAAAGGACCAGACGCCGGAGACCTGAGATCTTAGCAATATGGCAGAAAGCCTGAGCGTTTAGTTTATCACAGGATGAAAGGTTCAGCTCCTGGAGGTTTGGGCACATCTGAGCGATAACCTCGAGGCAAGTTTCATTTAGGAAGTGGCAGCAGGCCAGCTCCAGACGCACCAGCTCAGATCCGCACACTTGCATGAATCTGCACAGGAAGCACAGCAATCGTAGGGTTAAAATCCTGTCAAAGAGCAGGAGTCAAGCTGTGAGCGTATGCGCCAGGCATCAAGAATCTGCACATAAAGAGGCAACGTCAGGATTAAACTCAATAAAAACAGCAGATGTTACACTGGAAGTGAAAGGTGCAAATCTCTGAATTAATACATGGAGATCAGAAAGTCGGCTGCTGCTGGTTTCCAGAATTATTCATCGATAGGTAAACTTACAACTTAATTAAAGCAGTCAAACATTTATTAATCATTCTCTAAAATTCCTTAGCTTTGATTTGAAAAGTTAGCTGATCTCTAAATAAAAAATAAAAAGTAACAGATCTGTAACTAAAGGCTTTCACGACAGCATGGAAATTATACAGTACACCAGCACTTTATTTAATAAGTTATATCCATAGACAAAATGCCAGCTCCATTTTATATCACAGTCATTCAGGAACAGCACAGATGAGAACAGTTAATCTCATTTGCAAATTCGGATATACGGCATTAAAAATAATAAACCTTTTATTTTTAGTAAGGGATCTAAAAACATGCAGCAAACCACAACGAATGTAGAATGATGTCAAAACAAGAAAGGGATTTTTTGCATTTTAAAAATACCACCTTGATGGTAGTTGGTAGACTCTCACCTCTGAGTTAGGAGGTTGTGGGATCAAGCCCCATGTTGGGACTGTGAGCTAAAAGTCTATGCTTGCACTTCAATGAAGCGCTATGGGTGTGCTGCATTGTCAGAGCTTCCGTGCTTCAGATGAGAAGTGAATCTGTCCTGTCTTGTCTTTTCGGGTGGACATTAAAGATCCCATGGCACTATTTTTTCTGGCCAAAAATCCTCCAGATACTATTGGTCTTTGATTTCAAGGCTGTTTGTGGGACATTTCTATGCACGTGCTGTGCTGGCTGCTAATATTTACTTACAAAAAATATGGTTAATACAGTCTGGAGTAAATACTGTGAATCACTTTGAGGCATTTCAATAACATGATAAGACACTATCCCAAATGTAAGGATTATCATGAGACGGGGAACCCCTGTCACAAGCCCCCCCCACCCCCACCCAGAAGGCAGAATGAGATCGGTGCTGACCTGTTAAATCCTTGCTGAGAGATGAATCCCCTACTCCCAGTCCAAGACAGATTTAATCGCTGCAGGAGGGCACAGCGAGACGTTAAGTGCTCCAGAGAATTGTCGTTTATCGCTGCCCAGTAAGGCTGTAAACTCAGCTGGACATACTGAAGGGGATCGTAGCAATGCTGGTACAATGACTTGCAACACTGAGACAACTTGCAAAGATCTGGCACTGTCAAGTGACTGAGAATCAACTGGATTAGCTGCAAAAAAAGCATACACAGAAAAAAACAGGTTTAGGACAGCATACTTTGTGTATTCTAATCCTCAAATAGAACAAATTTGTAAGCGCTGTTTCTTGATCAAATAGAGAAACATTACTTGTGAATTGAAGTCTTATTTAGTATCTTAAGATTCATTTACAGAAGATGGTTGGGAAAGCTAGTGTGTGTATTTTTGTGTGTGTGTGTATCTATACATATATGTGAGCTTTTGTATATTGCTTTTTGTGTGTGTGTGTGTCTGTATATCTACGTATATCAAGTATGTATTTTCTTACCGAGAAGGAAATCGCTCCCTGTGTATCTTAGGAGGGCATGTTATTGATCAGGTGCTGTATATATAAACTAGAACAAAACAAGACACTCACTGCTCTCTTAAAACACTTGGCTTCACATAATTGGTCCATAATGTTGTTCTTCTAAAGACCAGAGATTACATTGAGATTGCACTTGTTCAAGAAGTGGATAGTTTTGAAAGGGTACAGGTGTCCTTACAAAAGCATATACTGTAGTTATTTGTGCTCCAGTGCTGGGAGCGTGGAACAGCTGCTTCCTTACTAAAGATGTACACACCATGTAAGCCCTGTTATCACAGGCACATTGTGGCACTGATCAAGCATCTGTTCCGTGAATTGATTAATCCTATAGTACTTCCTTTTACCTCAGGAGTACATTTATTTTTACCTGTAACCACCAATAGTATTTCCTTTAGCCATTACAAATGTGATGCCTTCAGCATCTAGATTGGGCCTTGAAGAACATTTAAACATATTTTATAGGTCCACATCCCAACCAAACTAGCCATGTGAAAATAACGTGAGGTAAAACAATCAGACCATGCCTGCTGTCCAGTTCAATGTGATAATACTGATATCTTACAAGAGCCTCTTTCCCAGTGTCACATACCTGGACCAGATCCTTAGGTGTTGCATTTCCCCCACCACACCCCTCCCCCACCCCATCACACACACACACACACACAGTGCCTACAAAATACACAGTCACTTCAATGTATCTGAGAAACTATGAGATGGCCTCCTGATATGAAAGCACTATATCAATGTAAGGATTATTATTTAATTACAATTAAGAGTAAAATTCTTGGAAGCATTTTGAGATGTTTTTACAATGTGGTGAGACTCTATATCAAATGCAAAGATTTGTATTATAATAACTAAATGCATGATGCATTTATCGGGAAGAAGGGAATAGAGGAATATAACAGAGAGGATTAGGAGGGGTGAAGGATGGGGAGTGTATGGATTAGTCGGGCCAAATGGCCTATTTTTGGTTCCATTGCATTTAATGTAATTCTATATCATAATAATCCTTGCTTTCAATACAGTGCCCTATCAGGTCTTCGAGAAGTCTCAAAACCCTTCATGGAATTTATTGTTATTTACTGTAACTGTAGTGACTGTATATTTTATAGGTAACTCTGGCAGCCATTTTGTGCACAGAAATACAGATATTAGTTTACTTCCCCGTGCAGCATGTCCACTAAAAGTCTACACTACCTTCCAACTACAATCCTTACTAATATTGTGCATACACCTTAATTTTGCCAACAGATTCTAACTTCAGGCATCATTAAAAACCTTAGGTTCTTTCCTCTCACTCCCCTCCCAACGACTATCTAGGGCAATGAAAGGTTAAATGTAATTATCTGAGCAAAAATATACAAGGAAGCTATTATGATGATGTCAATAGTTTAGCAACAGAGAATAAACTGCATTAGACACGAGAGCAGCTGCAGGAAATTAGCTATTATAGAGGTTGTGAGCTTATAAAACGGAATGACCCGTTAGGTCAACATCCGCTCAGTAATCACGCCGGCCCATCCTGGCCTGGCACAATCCCGATTCTGTGTTTTTTTTAAACAAAAAAAACAAGAATCACTGTGACATCTCTCTTTAAATTATTTCCATTCAGATCTTCTGCTACGTTGTTGCAACATCGACCGACTCCGCCACTGCCTCTCCCCTCAGGCCGCTGAAACCCTCATCCACGCATTTATTACATCTAGGCTCGACTACGCCAACTCTCTGCTTGCCGACATTCCTAACTCTTCCCTCTACAAGCTGCAGATCATCCACAGCCTGCAGCTCATGTCTTCTCCCGCACCAGGCTCCGTGACCCTATCAGCCCCACCTTCGCCCGGCTCCACTGGCTTCCCATCCCCCAGAGTATAGAATCAAAATCCTGGTCCTCACCTTCAACGCCCTCCACAGCCTTTTGCCCCTTCCTACCTTTGTGACCTGCTAACACCATATCAACCTGTCCGCTCCCTCCGCTCAGGGAATCTAGCCTGCTCCGCGACCCCTGTCCGGCCCACCCCACCATCGGCGGTTGGGCCTTCAGTTTCTCTAACCCCACCCTTTGGAACTCCATCCCACAGTCCCTTCATCTTACTCCCCCATTTGCCTCCTTCAAAGCACATCTCAATATCCTCCTCTTCGACCACGCATTTGGCCACCTTCCTACCCCTACCCTCTCTGCACTCCAAACCCCTGATCCCAACTCCCTGCTAGGGTCCAGATCCCTGACTGTCCTCCCGACGCGAAAGACACTTTACAAATGTAATTTGTTGCTGTTGTTGTTTATTGTTGCACAAGCCTGGGTTGTTAGCATTCGCCCAGCCAACTAACTTGCAATAATTGAAGAAAAGAGAATAATTCAGAAAACAATTTAAGAAATGGTCACGATTAAGTGATGTGCCACACAATGAAACAAGCTGAAACTATTCTGTCCATACCGGTAAATTGTTTTTATAATGTACTGCTGAAAATAACCGGGTATTTACTCCCATGCACTCCATCACAACGAAAAAGTAGACTTAAAACAAGTAAATGTTCAGATACTAGGTTACTTCGTCTTTTCGAAACAAGAATAAAGGCAAGAAAAATAGCATGAGAGAATACACTAGTGTGAGTAGATTATAAATGATAAACACACATCTTGATGAATTGCAAAACAGAAATCCAATCATGGGGTTCATGGTATGAACTTAAAACCATTCAAACGCTGCTCCTACATCTCAAGGTGTCACTTGAGTCCCTCAATTGGATCACTGCCTTACAACATATGCAACACTGTTATTTCCAGAAAATCCACTGAGGATAATCAGTTAATAAGTTTCCAGTGAATCTTCATTCTTTCAGTGAAGTTGTTTTTATACACGCTGTGTCGGTGTGTCATCAGCGTTGGTTTATTGAAAAATAACAATATAAATACTGAATGTAAATTACATGACATCAGAATTGTAAAATTAAAACTTTAAAGATTTGTATAATTGTACACTACAAATTTACTAAACTTACCCATCAAGAACATTGCATTTAGCTCAACTTTAACAAATTGTCTATGTGGAGCACTTGAAATAAAGTAACTCCAGGGGGGGGGAGAAAAATACATAATGTATTATTGAAAAAAAGCAAATGCAGTACTAGAACGAAGGCCTGAATGAATAAAGAATAAGCATTTGTCTCTTTAGCAAATGGCAATGCTTAACACTCTCTATAAAGTGTCCAGTACATTTCAGGCAATTATGCACATCTGAGATCTGGCAAGTGTGATGAGAAGTGCTTTGTGACTATCAACCCACTGTCATAACCAGTCATGGCTTCACAATCTTCTGAAAGGTAAAAGCCTTGCCCATTAGCCACAGCCAACTGGAGCTAACCCTTTCTTTTCATTAACTCTTTGCTTTCTGATGCAGCTGTAATTCTTTGAGAACTGCTGTTCAAGAATTAAAGGCATGCAATGCAGTCTTGCAGTAACTTAGGCCAAATATAGTATAACGGGGGCTGAAATTCTACGTCCCCACCCCCAAGAAAAAAATCTCTGGGGCAAATACTGCCAGATCCACATTATTTTGTTAACAGTAAGATTTTCCCCAAGAAGAAAATTGAGTTAAAGCAGTAATCCACATTAGCAGTGTCAAACCTTTGCAATAAGGCACTGAAAATAAGACTGGCCTGTTGGTCCTGCACTATGATCTGTGTAAAGCAAGATCATAATAGTTCATTATTCAAGTGTAAACTAGTTTCATTGTGTACATAGAATTTTACCACACAGAAGGAGGCCATTCGGCTCATTGTGCCTGTGCCGGCTCTTTGAAAGAGCAACCAACTAGTCCCACTCTCCCCACTCTTTCTTCATAGCCCTGCAATTTTTTCCCTTTTAACTACCTAAATGCCTTTTGAAAGTTATTATCCAATTTGCTTCCACCCCCCTTTTAGGCAGAGCATTCCAGACCATAACAAGTCTCTAGGTAAAAAAAATTCTCTGGTTCTTTTGACAATTATCTTAAATCTGTGTCCTCTGGTTACTGACCCACCTGCCAAAGGAAACAGTTTCTCCCTATCTACTGTCAAAACCCCTCATAATTTTAAACATCTCTATTAAATCGCCCCTCAATCTTCTCTGCTCTAAGGAGAATATTCCCAGTCTCTCTAGTCTACATGATTTATATTTTCACCATATTTGTTGATCATCAATAATGTGACTAACTTGTTAGACGTCTCATTCGCAAAACATATCAACCCAGTTATAATGCAGTGTTTTGGGTTTATAAAACAAGACTCTACTTTATAATGGGTCTACAAAATAAAAATGGTCACCAGACTCACTTCTTAGTCATCAGATGACCACTGGTGTTCAGGGAGCTGTATTTGTAAACTGTATTCATTGTGTTAATTGTGATTTTCTGTTTGCACTTATAACAAACTATTTGATTTGCAACATACACAAAAAGGCTATTTGCAAAACTTGAAATTTTTGGCAGCCGCCTGGATTCCCAATTATCCGTCAAATCTTGGAAATCAGAGAACTTCTGACATTTGCAAACCATAAGTTGCAATTAATGCAATTTATTTACAAATTTTGCAAATTAGACTCTTACAGAAATAGTCTGGAAAGGTTAGTGCTCCTGAAATCCTTTTGAGGTTTGCTGCTGGTGTTATCTGGAATCAGATATTTAG